AGGGAAAAAAACATTATTATAGGAGAATTTGGGGTTTTCATTTTCCAATAATTTCCTGGTCATCACAGTGGTAGTATAAAGTTTAAATAGATGCTCCAGTCCCACCCGACCAGTGGAGAAATCAGAGGGTGCTGGGGGGGAAAGGAAGGAACGTGGTAAAGATACAGATCAGTCCCCACACACTTTTAAAGCTTTTCTAAGACTGTTTTGATGAGGGGTTACTTTTCCAAGACGTTTAATGCTCTGTGTTAGTTATTCCAAGTAGGATTACTTCAGTTCCAATCAGTCATAATCTCTTCATTAAAAGTAATGAAGCAAAGCTGATAAGCTATAACAGCATGATCAAAGGTTTCAGAACAACTGGGTTTTTTTTTTTAAAAGACACTGCGCTTTTAAGTTTGCATTACAGAAAGAACTATTCTCAATATAAAACTACCTTTAAATGACCTAGAGCAAAGGAATCTTCTTCCAGTGAGAAATTCTGATTCAATTTGTAATTCACCCTCCATGTGAGCATACAACAGAGCTAAACTGTTTCCTGGTTTAGTATTTTTCCTGTTTTAACATTTTATGGACTAAAAAAGGGTTTATAGAAAGCTGCTTAGCCTAGATTTTGGTGTTTGAGGACACATTCTAATATATCTCACAAGCGAAGACAGAAGTTAGGCAATTTCATAAGACTAAAATTTACCACATATCAACGTCCCTTTACATTCTATGAATGAATGGGTACCATCTCTAAAACGTGTATAACAAATAAAAGCTTATGAAAGTCCAACTCGAATTTTGCAACCAAATGGCGATAACCCCAAACACACCCCCACCACCCCCCCACCCCCCCCCTTAATTTATCAAAACAAGACTTCTGAAACCAAAGAAAACACCTTTTTAAAGTGAGTACTACAGCATGGACATGACCTACAATGGAGTCAATACCATGTTAGGGGAAGAAAAGTTCGTATGTTCTGGTAAACATGGTGGATGATACCTACGTGATGTTCATGTCCACGCTGACCCCAGGCACTGCTCTTTCTGTGTACAGCAACGCTGCTGTTGACACCACATCCACAAGTGTGGCTGTCAAACCTCCATGTAACGTGCCACCTCTGTTTGTATGCTCCTCCTCTACTTTCATTTCACAAACAATTTTTCCAGGAGTTGCAGAAAGAAGTTTCATCTGTATAACCAAAAAAAGGAATGAAACGCTTACTGACAACAGTGCCAACACCTGATACTGCCCTGAATCAAACTGAAAGTAAATCTTGTTTAATTCTGGATTCCTGAGACAAATTAAAAGATGGAAAATACAGTAATTCAACTGTCACATTAGGTATTTCCATAAATTTTGAGCAGAAGATTGTTGCCTTAGAAAAATTTGTATTTCTAGTAGAGATAAATATTTAAACTGACAGCTTAACAAAACTTCAATACTTGCTATGCTCTCAGGAACTGCTTGGGAGACAACGCTCTTCTTCAGTTTTCCTTTTGCTTTAATCTGTGACTGAAAAGCCAGATTACAGGGAACACAAAACTGCTCTGACTGTGTGTACCACAGTTGTGAAGGCGTATTTGTTAGCTCACAAAACGGAAACGAGACTGATGGTAATTCATTAATCATTATACTAGAGCAACCTCAGTAAAAATCAGTATTTTGAAATGAGCACTGGAAATGCTAATCAGATTGGCCTCCCTGAACTGCAAATTCATACTCCTGGGTAGAAGCATCCAAGGCTGTATCACACCGTATTACAGCATCATGACTTGCATATACACTTTCATTCCAGCCCATAGGTGTTAAATAGAAAATTTACAGTACCTCTATGGTATCATGCTTCCCCCTGTAACCAACACAAGCAGCTGGATTTTTGAGACCAAGGAGTTACTGCAATTCAGTATTTCAAAATCTTTTTTTTTCAAGTTTCTTCAGTTAGTACCACTATATTCAAAATCTGAAATATATTCAAAATCCAAAAGCGGATACAGAACTGGAGTAAGTTCAGCATATATATTTACACCTACAACTAAGACTTTGAAGTACCTTTAGACTGTCACAAGTGAAATGTGGGCATAATATTTATTATAATTCCTACTAATTTTCTAATTTTTTTACAAAGGTTTTTTTTCCCACTTACATGTTCCATACCGTGTCAGCTTAAATCTTTTTAGTCTTAAAAGGAGTTAAGATTGAAACGTTTCCAGTTTCACTATTCCTTATTTATACTGCAGTGTAAGACCTCAGTTTCAGCCAATGTCCCTTTCTGATAGGCCAAAGTTTATCCAAATTTTGCAGAGGAATGATACTAAGATAAATGGTGATGTAGTAGACAGTCCATCTACAAATGGAAAAAGGTGGAGTTAAGCAGAGGGGAAGTCATTGAGGCAGTGTCCAAACATGGAAAAAGCACCTTTATCAATGAAAATCCCAAGTCCTAAACCAGGCACGCTGTGCTGCACTGACTGGAGGCCCAAGTTTCTGACAGAATTTCCAATGAGGACTTTACTGACGCTTGACACGGGGAGCAGATGGCTTCCACTGCCGTCAGGGAGTGCTCCAATCCATCAGCAAGGCAAGGAAAGCATCTGCTTTCATTCGTCGTTGCTCTGATCTGGCACTCGCTGCCTGCTCTCCTTGACGAAAACAGTATTTGAACGCTTCCTGGACTTACACAGCCAGAGCTGCTGGTTTGTACTTCTCTTCTTCCAGCCCTTCTGTGCCTGCCCTCCCACGCGTCTGTCTCAGTGAGCAGTATGCTGCTTTGGCTTCCAGCCACTGCTGCGACGCACTGCTTCTCTGGAGAAGGGGCTTCAAAACCCACAGTCGATAAGCCCTACGTAGATACCGCATTGGAATTAAACCAGAAACTAAGTCTGATGGTGGAGCTGAAAAGTTTTGGACTAGAATCTGTCTCCTCCAGAACAGGAAAAATCTTGAGTCATATTTAGTTACGGCAAGAAAGGCTTCAGGTATCTCCCAGAAAAACAGCAGATACTTTAAATTTAAACAAAACCGTACTTTTATTACGATTATGTTCACAGCATCGTAATTCTAAAAGGAGATTGCAGAAAAAGTAAAAAAGTATTCCAGAGCAAGGTAGGAAGCCCATCTCCCAAGGCTCACTTCCAGCCTGTCACCTTTAGGAGCTAAAATACTGCATTTGTTCTCCACTTAGTAGGATTTTAAGGTAAAGAAGAGTAAAGTTATCAGAGTAAAGAGGTGACCAAGAACTAATTGGACTCTTTATAAATAAATGGACTTCATAAACTTAAAGCTTTATACTTTTTATACACTAGGCCAGAATGTCTTGGGGAAACAAGGTAATAAGAGTTGTTTTGCAAACAGTTACTTTCTATTAAATGCATTGGATCACAGAGCTGACAATGAAAGCACCACTTGCCCCTCTACAACGCAAAACACATAAATTTTAAAATGGTTGGTTTTCTTAAGATATATTGACCACTTCTCTCCGTGTCACGGTTACACAAATAAACAGAAACCAAACGCAGAATTTTAGCATTGCAAAACTTAATGAGAACACTGAAACCGCTTCACAGGACCGCCCTACACAGGAGCTCAAGAACAAATCAGCTACGCTACTGCACGCTACACAATTTAGGAAGGCACAGTAACGTCATTTCAACTTTTTTTGATCATAACGTAGCGTTACATTAGAGCCGTACCAGTCAAACACAGTTGTTTATACTGAGCCTTGTTAGAAGCTCACAGAGCACTTAAGCGCTTGTGGTTTTGGTCTGACTTCAATGCGGGATATCAGATGTTGTAACTAGCTACTTTTTTTATTTTTAAACAGAGAAGAGTAATAATTTATATCATAATTTCACAGTCCTGAAAGTTAGCTCAGTCACGGGGACTAGGAAGGGATGAATACTAGTTACTAAATAACTCATGGAAAGCTATTCAGCACAATCCTTGTCTTCAGAGAGGTACTGGAGGGCCGCTCTCGTGTTTGAGGTGTCGAACATCCTTGTGTTTTCCACCGTGTGTTACCATCACGACCACACACGCCCCGGTTCCGAGACCTCGAATGTGGGGAAAACGGCGGCAGGCCTGCACCAGCG